GGGATCGGGTTGGTTTCCCGGATCGCCCGCTGGGTCAACTGCAAGTACGCTCGGCCGCATTGTATTATGGCCTGGACGCCGCAAAGGAAATCGAGCCCCAGTATGATGTCGTCCACTACCATGGGTAGGACTAATAGAATCACCCGCGTTTCCTGTTGATCCAGACGCACCTTGACCGAAACTGCTTGCGTCACCTCCTTTGCTGTACCATCCGCCAGGCGGACGGTAGTCCTTATATTCCGTGCGTTCCCTCCGGTACTTACTTCATGAGCGATGCGTTGACTGACGAACGACCGCGTTGCTCCCGTGTCGAGGGTAGCTGTGAGCGGTACTCCTCCTCCGATCCTGCCTCCTTCCAAACTTAAGGGATGAGTTACTCCTGGGGGCCCTGGAGGTATGTCTCCGATCGGTTCCCTGACGAGCGGAGACTCGGCAGTCGATCGTCCGGATGCCGCGGCGGCCACACTCCCAACAGAATAGCACTCGCCGATTCCTGCATGAACTGCTGAAATGACCTTCCTCCCCGCAATTCCGGCAGGCACGGCGTGTGTTCACCGGCCGGTCTCCATCCTGGGTCACTACGCGGCTTGCCGTCTCGGCGCTCCGGGAGGGCCCGGTGTCGTCTGGAGGGGCATGCTGTGGGGTGGATAATCCGGGTCCTTGGTATGATGGCGTTCTGGCTTTCGTATTTGGGTGGTCGTTAGCTGGGTGGGTTTGTTCGCGGTCCCGCGTTGTCTCGTACGCTACTACCAATTGGGTCAGTTCTCGCAACGTCTCGAACTCATGTCTACGGGTGAATAGTTGGTATTCCGGCCGAAGGTTCTCGTAGATCCTGTCCAGCTCCCTGCCTGGAGTATACTGAGCTCGTTGCATCATGAGTCGGAGGTCGATCAAGTAGTCCTGAAAAGCTTCTCGGGGTCGTTGGCGACGGGAGCGCATCGTATCTTCCAAGCGCTGAAAGTATCGCGGGGGTAGGAAGAACTCCAAGAACTCCTTCCGGAACTCGGTCCATGGCTTGCCTAGCATCTGGAACGTCCTAAACCATCCTTCTGCCTTGCCAGTTAGTAGCCCGGAGATGGCTCGCGGCAGTTGTGCTGGGCTTCCGCCATATGAGTCGACCCTTTCTTCCAACAGTTCGATGAAAGCCAGCGCATCCGAGTGTCCGTCGAACTTCAGACCCCAATTGCGCAGTTTATCGGCCAGGGCGGCGAATGAAATTTCTTCCCTTCCGGGTCGCGAAGTTCCGGCTTCCTCGGGGAAGCGGTGCTGGTGGTGATTGTCACCATGTCGCCGGTCAGTCGTGGTTTCAAGCCGGCCAGAGTCGCCGTGAGCTAAACGCGGGAACTCGGAATTATGATAGATAGAGGCTGCTCCGCACAGGTCCCTTCCTTCCGCTCTTGCTGACTCGGTCCCGGCGACGGGGACGTGTTCCTCGGGCTTCTCGGGCTGGGCGCGCTGTCGAAGACCATTCCGAGCTCTTTGATCCGTTTTTCGATCGCAGTCGGATGCTCACCGCGCGAAATAAAGGCCGAGGTCCGGCTGCGCAGTTCGTCCACTGTCCCGGTTTCACCGAGGCCGAATTCGGCGGCGATGGCCTGCAATTCCGATGGTCCTTGCGCCGATACGAAATCCACTGTACCCCCATGTCGAAGCACGGTGGTCGAGCTGGCACTTTGAGGTCTTTCGCGTTTCCGACGGTAGTATCACGTATTGACCCTTCCGTAGAATCTTTTCTTAGGTAACGCACTGAATACCGGAGTCCTTGGGGCTAGTCACGGAAGCGCGGCGTATGCACGGTTAACACGGTTGTCCAGTGGAGGCGTCCTCGGCGTCCTTGCTGCTTGGAGTCCTGGTCGATAGTCCTTTCTATCGTTGTCCTTGGAATGGTCCTGACTGTTGATCCTGGCTAGGCCGGTCGATAGTCCTTGCTATCGTTGTCCTGGGGATTGTCCTTGTGGTCCTGGTCGTGCTGGGTTCCTTGATTTAAGCGTTGGATCTCGTCCCGTGTTGATGGCTGAACGCTGACTGATCACTTTGTAGGCCGGGCTTTGAAGGATCACGCTGAGGACCGTGCATTCCCTGACTGCTATCGTTTTGAAGACCGGGCACTGACTGCTCGCGCTGAGGGTCGGGCATCGACTGATCGCGCTGAAGGCCGGGCATTGACTGCTCACGCTGAGGGTCGGGCATCGACTATCGCGCTGAAGGCCGGGCATTGACTGATCCCTCTGAAGACCGGGCATTTACTGACTGCTATCGTTTTGAAGGCCGGGCATTGACTGACTGCTCTGAAGACCGGGCGTTGACTGCTCGCGCTGAGGGCCGGGCCTTGACTATTCGCGCTGTCGTTTTGTAGACTGGGCTTTGAATGATCACGCTGTGGGTCGGGCATCGACTATCTGCTATCGTCTTGAAGGCCGGGCATTGACTGCTCGCGCTGAGGGTCGGGCATCGACTATCCTCTTCTGAGTCTGAGTACGAAATATATAGCCGGGCTGGTTGGTCTTCGTGAGGATTCCGACGCTCGCTCGGCCTCTACCGCTCACGACTCGCTGCTCGCCGCGTACTTGTCGCTCTCTCTCTAACGATTTCAGCCCAGCTTCGGCTCGGTTCTCTTTCTCGGCACTCTCCTCCTCGTGTGGGCGCGGCGGCCACGTGTTGACGCTATTGCTAGGGAGGTTAGGGAAGCCAGCCTCGGCTGTACGTGAATGATGGGCGGCCTCACGTGCGGTTTTTCAGAGATATACAGCTATTCTTGTCTTAATGATTCCGACTGGCCGTGCTTGCGCATAGTACAGTCCCGATTCCCCCTGCTACACGTTTTCTGATCGACTGTTCCACTTAGCGCCCCAAAACATAACGGAATCCCGGAGTCCCTGCTCGGGCGCCATGTAAGGAAGCGATCCTGGGCTGGGGTACATATCTCAGTCTAATCCAGGGTCGAAATTACAGAAATATTTATAATTTGCCGGGACTCCGTATTTCGGACAGACGATGGGGGACGGGGCAGCAGTCCCGCGGACGGGAGCGATCGTATCGTGGGACGCGGCAGTTGGTCCCACCGAGAGCACTCCGGCTATCGCCGAATAGCGCCTTCAGAACCCCACCGAACTCAGGATCAATACGGAGGTCTTTACTATGCGATAATACCGACAGGTGTCGCCGAGAGTACCTAGGCTACCGCCGAACAGTACTTACGCGGAAGGGGGACTTGGCTATGCGGAAATACCGACAAGTATCGCCTAGAGTACCCAGGCTATCGCCGGACGGTACTTACGGGACCCTGTCGGCCTAAGAATTACTACGACGCGGAAGGGGGATTTTGCTATGCGGAAATACCGGCAAGTATCACCGAGAGTGCCTAGGCTATCGCCGGACGGCACTTACGGGACCCTGTCGGCCTAAGAATTACTACGACGCGGAAACGGGACTTTGCTATGCGGAAATACCGGCAAGTATCGCCGAGAGTACCTACGCTATCGCCGGACGGTACTTACTGGACCCCGTCGGCCTAAGAATTACTACGACGCGGAAATGGGAACTTTGCTATGCGGGAATACCGACAAGTATCGCCGAGAGTACCTAGGCTATCGCCGGACGGTAGGCCGGACCCTGTCGGCCTAAGAATTACAACGAGGATCAGAGATATCGACGAGCATCACCGAGAGTGCCTAGGCAATCGTCGGATAGCACTTACGGGACATTGTCGAACTAAGAACTACTAAGGGGGTCGGGGATATCGACAAGCATCGCCGAGAGCGCCTAGGCAATCGCCGGATACCACTCACGGGACACTATCGGGCAAAACATTACTGCGAAAGTCTTTATCATACAGGGCAGGTATCGCCGATAGGGTTTAGGCAATCGCCGGGCAGCCCCTTCGGGACCCAGGGAACTACGGGGATCAGGCGAGACACCAACAGGAGTCACCGGGGGCGCTTACACAATCGTCGGACAGCGGCCTCGGGACCCTGCGGGGTCACAAACTACGGGATGGGATCATGCGTAGGGAACGCCGACAGGTATCACCGGGAACGCCTAGGCAATCGCCGGACAGCGGCCTCAGGATCCTGTCGGGCTACGAACTACTGGATGGAATCACACAGACTCGGGCAAGAGGCGGGAGGAAGGGCAGAGAAGATGAAGCCTCGGGCCTCCAGGTTCCCTAGTGTATAGATTGTTGGTGGTCGTGCTATGTTTCTGTTATATTACATTTCACTTTATTCTTTCTGGGTTCCCTACCTATCGCACCGCTCAGCAGCCCGTATGCACGTCTAAAGACTCGCTTACCCCTGAACTCCCGCGCTTATATTCGTCGAAAGCCTCCTCTTCCCCGTGGGTGCGGCGTAGATGCAGGATCTCCTCTGTGTCACTGATCGTGTTGTCGTGGATCTGGTCCACCACGTGTCTTACTTTTCGTACGCTACTCGAATTTTGTCCGCAAACCAGTGTTGCCATTTTAGCCTATTTAAGGCTAGATCTAGCTTATTTGAAAACGGAAAAGCTTGAAAAATTATGAAAATGCTTGTAGCCTTAAATCTAGCCTTTTTTAATTTCACTCTGTTTATGTTTGCCTTTTTATATCCTACATATATTTTTAGGCAAATCGAACAAAAAGTATATTTGTTGTACATTATCATGGTATTTTAGAATTCATTTATGGTATATTTTCGTTGAAAAGTTTCGGTCACTACTACACAGAAACTTGGCGATCGTGTGAAATGTGTTATTGTGTAAAATTGAGGTGCAAGGATTGTATAAAGGAGCTTATTATCCAACACAGAGAAAGGTCTAATGATCTCATTTCCATATTGGAATTCTTGCCCAATATGGCAAAATTCACTTAGTCCCTTGGCAAAGTACAGATGACACTATAAAGCTTTGGTCAGAAGTACTGACTTATAAAGATGCTGGCAAAAACAAACCTCTTGAAGAAATTGCTCTCTGTGGTCAAATGCTGCCATTGAACATGTAATCAGTTTAATAAATATCGCTAAGACCAAGCTTAGGAACAAAATGACTGTTAAATCCTTAAACTCAATATTAAATATAAGGTTTGTTTTAGTAATATTTAATTGTCTGATGAATACCACTATAATTCTTTTGAATTTTACAGATATGGATTGCGCCGTCATGGCATATGTTGCCACAACTACCAATTACCGGAGAAATATTTAAATTTAATACGTTCCAGCGATAAATATACCGATTCGAGTAATAGCGAGTTGGATAAAATAATAACACAATTAGAAATGTGTATATCTTGTGTTTTTTTATTTTTAGCCTATTTTTTGGCCTTTTTTAATTTTTAGCTTGTATTAGCTTGTGTTTTTGTGAAATCTAGCTTATTTTGACGCTCAAAATCTGGCAACACTGCCGCAAACACGTCCGACTCCTACGACTGCTTCAAAACCAATTTTCCTCTTTCCACGTTTTCCCAGCTCAGAGCCGGCGTTCTGCTGGCTCTGCCGATCCAGCGTCAGCGTGGGCGGCTAGCGTCGTCGTTCTCGCCGCGGCAGAGGGCTGGCGCCGCCGTTACTTCGCTTTAGTTTTCCGCGTCTCTCTTCTGCCGTTGCTGCCGTGGGCTTACTGTTCCAGCGCTTCGTTGCTGCGTCGACGCTGGCGGCTTATCTTTTCGGCTCTTGGTGTATTTCTCTCTCTCTTTGGCTTCCGCTGCGTTGTTGTCGTCGGGTTTTGTTTTCTCGGTGTATTCACGCCGTTGCTGCGTTGATGCCGTTGGTTTTCGGTCCTCGGTATATTCCTCTCTCGTTTTGGCTGCTGCTGCGTTGTTGTTGTTGGGTTTTGGTTTTGAAAAGCTGGGGGGGCTAGGACTGACCCCTGGACTTGATTGAGCTTACATCAGCATGAAATAGGTCCATCACAGAGTGCACATAACCGAGTGAGTGATAGCGAGTCAGAGGGCAATGTAACTGGCAGGTAACAGAGCGCGGTACTCAGCAGCAATAACAGGCTATTAGGCTGGGGTGCTAACAGCGCGGTTTCCCTGTTACAGTTGCTACCCTGAACAGTAAAAAATTCCGCTCGAAGCTAGGCGTTTGAAGAACACTGTCTCAGTCTGCCTTTTCCACAACTGTCTGACTTTTACGAAACGTACTGTTCCAAAAACTATTCATATACTTATTATATGGGTCTAGCTAAAGTGTAATAAAAATTCCTGTTGAAAGCTTTAAATTCAAATTTTAAGAGTGAAAAATGCTAAGGCTTCGCTTCATAGGACGGATGCGACGTCCATTACACCGTCGAATGGGGTGTACCAAAGTTATCAAGACCCTAGAGAAGGATAACGTTTTTGGTGGCCCGCGTGAGTCACGGGCGGAGTCGGTCGAGGTGAACTCAACAAAGGGGCCCAGGGTGAACATGAATGAGCAATTGTTGATCAACCATGCCGTATTCCAGATGGAACGAAAACCCCTTGAGGTTCCCACTATAGTGGGCGACGAGCAAATGTACACTAGGGACAACCAGAGACTATCCTGTCCCCACGAACTGAAGCGGACGGTGGCCCAGATATATTATGCGAACCGTTGCCAAATCGAGAGTGCCGTCAGGACGGCATTGAAGGCCCAGGCCACCTGGAGTCTGGTAGCCGTGGCGGACCGTTCCACCATCTGGAGGTATGCTGCAGACATAATCGAGGCGGATGAGTTCCGTATGCGGATGTATTTGATGCTGGCCCTAGGAAAGACGAGTGTTGATGCTGCCAAGGACATCCAGCGCCTGGTCACATCGATTAGAGCCAACGCCGACTACCTGGAGCACTTGTCGCAGCTGCGCTTCGAGATCCAGGGTGAAGTCTGTGTCTTTCCCAGCTTAAATCTGCGCCCCATGGATGGCTTTGTGGCTGCCATCTCGTCATTCGAATCAGTCGCCCTTTCCGCCAATCTGGCTCTGTGTCCCGTTCTAATGGGCAACGCAGTTCTGTGGAATCCGGCCCTCGAAGTGGCACCCATAAGTTATCTCGTCTACCAGGCTTTCCAGGATGCTGGTCTGCCCAAGGGAGTGCTGAACTTCTTGCCCTCCAATAAGAAACTCTTCATAGACACTATTACGGATGCCGTTCACTTTGCCGGGGTCAATTGTCACTGCAGCGCCCAAGATTATCGCTATATTCACAAGCTGGTGAGCGATAAGATGCAGCGGTACATATGTTTCCCTCGACTGGTGGCCGAGTGTACCGGTCAGAATTTTCATTTTGTCCATAGCAGTGCCAAGATGGAGGCCGTCTGCTCGGCCACCGTGGAAGCGGCGTTCAACTATGCTGGACAGTACTCCAATTCGTTGTCTCGCATGTATGTGCCATCCTCCATGTGGACCGAATTGCGGGAACTGCTAATCGAAGGAGTGAAACGATTTACGGTCGGAGATCCAACACGAAACGAGACCAAGATGGGGCCCGTCATCAATAGGGCAGCCTATGAGCGCATGCAGCAACTAATGGAATCAAACAAGGACGCTGAATTATTGTGCGGTGGCACCTGTAATGATAACATTGGATACTTTGTCGAGCCGACGGTTTTGCGGATAATGAATCCGCTGCATCCACTGCTGAGCGAACCGCTGTCTGGGCCGTTACTCCCAATATTTGTCTATGCCGATGACTCATTTTCGGAGGCACTCAACCTAGCTGCACACCAGTCAAAGAACGCCCTGTCCGGCTCCGTGTTTGCCACTCGAGATGAGGTGATCTCGCATTGCTTAAACCAACTGCGAATGGCGGCAAGCAATTTGTATGTGAATGAGCGTTGCACCGGCAGCTCGAGTGGCCTGACGCCTTTTGGCGGCAACCGTTTGTCGGGAACAAATGATAAGTCCGGATCTGCCTACTTCCTAATGCGATGGAGCTCCCCTCTGCTGGTAGAGGAGACGGTTGATACTCCGTCAACTTATTAGTCACCTACAGGATGGAAAGTTGCCAAATAGAACAGAACACACCATTGTTTCTTATAAATTAAAACCATGCTTTTCAATGCCGCTATTAAAATTTGTATTTAAGTTTAAATTTAAACGAATCTTAATTCGAAGAGAAAACGAAGGTGAACGTTGCCAGTCCCAGCTACGACCGCGATTCTACATTTATGTAGGAATTTTAATTATAATAGCGTTTGTTGATATGAGTAAGTAGTGTAGGTTGTATAATGAATATTGATTAACTACTTTCAACAATTGATGAGACAACTTATTAGCACGACGACTGACAACTTTTTCGCACGACGGCTGTCAACTTAATCGCACAACTTAATAATGAGAATCCTCTCTCGGATGCTTAACGGCTCTCTTTTATGACCGCTCTCGCGCTCTACCGATCTGTTCTCTCGCTATCGGGATAGGGGACGCGAGTGTACCGACAGCACAGCCTTCTTACAACTGCCAAAAATGTACAAATTTCAATATTTTATTTCTTTCTTTCGGTTTGAGATTGGCGTCGCAACGGCCGACGCGGTTGATTTCTCCAAAAGAACTGCCCTTCTTCTTACAAGTAAGTTAGCCCTCAGCACACCAGACGCTCACTGCTCGTTCTGCAACATTGTTGCGCACCCAAAACTCCGGCATCGCTGGACAACATCCCCTGCATGACAGCCGATCCTGCGCTCTCTATGTTTCTTCGATCGATTGTATTAACTCCTCCTTCACTTAGGTGGAAGGCGTCCTCGGATTTCTTTAAGCCGTCAATTAGCACTTGGAGGTCACGTTGGCGTCTGTTTCTCGGAGCCGTTTGGTAGAGTATCGATGAGGCATAAAACGATTGCTGACAATCCAGATATTATCGGTCTTCTTACGAGTCCTGTTTTCAGTTGGTCGATGTCTCGTAAGTTTTCCATACTTAACCTTTGTAAGTACGGCAAGCTCGGATCGTCTTCATGGCTTGTTATGTCGGGGAGTGTGGATACTGCTGATCCTGGAGACTTCCTCACGTAGTTCTTAAAATATTTATTATTGTTTACATTTATCTCGTCGTCAAAGGTAGGGAGGTCACCACCTCTTTATCGATTGTAGCCATTATGTCGTTAATGATGATTATGCTATCATCGATGCGTGTTACAGATTCGAGATGGCTGGGCCGAGTTGAACAGTGCGCGATGACACCGGAGTGTAGTTGCTGCGCACAAGTTTTTTACAGAATGTTGTTGTAAGAGTGGTAGCGCAGTATCCGATAGCTATAACATGGTTACCACCGTCGGCTATTTTTCCGTCTTCGGCGAAGCTAATTTTGATGCCGTTGTGCTGAACAGGGTGATTACAGATTAATCTTACAGAATATTTTTTTTTACAAATTAAGTAAGGCTTAGGAAAGAATTCATTATTTAATAAAACTTTGATTTTAGCTTAGACGTAGCTCGGTAATAGTTTAATTCGTAGAGTGTTCATTAATTATTCTATGACCAAACGTTTTTTTTTTATTTCCCTGTTCATTGGTACCTTTTTTGTCTACAACCCAAACGGGGTTGTTGTATGGTGCCCGAGACGGTCGTATTATACCACCTTTAAACAAGTCTTGAGTTTCTGCATTTACGAATTCTGAAACGCCCAATGGATATGTGTACAATTTTCAATATATGGGATTTTCATTTTCTGTTCGCATAGTGCCAATGATATGTTATTTGTATTATATGGGAGTGCTTCATTTGGTTCTGCGAAAAATCCTGTTCGGTTTCCTAGCATCAGCTGAAACTTTTGGGGTATAGTATCAGGAACCTTTATTTCCTCGACATTTGTAAAATTTGTAACGAACCTAAGAGGGTTCGATACAATCCGTCCCCCGCCATATAATGAGCGTATCGCACCACACCCCGCAACCAACGCCTCCTCTCCGCACGCAACCACCGATCGACACGCGCCAACTCCATAACGCTGACCAAAGACATCAGGTCGCGAAGACTTTCCCCACTCTAGGCCAAGCCATCAGCCAAGTGCGGTCTTCCGGGTTCATCAACTGCGGAAAGATGACACCGCGAAAGTCTGCGACGGTCACCAAGAACGGCGAAGTGCACCCCGACGCGGAAATGCATTTTTAAACCCGCGGACCCAGCAATACGAGCCTATAAAAAGACGACGATGAGAACCAAGAAGCAACTTACGCAGAAACACGGCTCAGAGTACAGACGGGGTACCAGAGACTTACGCAGAAACCCGGCTCAGAGTACAGACGTTGTACCAAAAGCTTGCGCAGAGACCTGGTTCGGAGTACAGACGTTGTTCCCGGGACCTACAAGAGACACCGGCGACCAATTAAACTAAGTTCATTTAAAGTGCTAAGAATTATAATAAAGTGTCGAGTTATCAAAGTAACACCCGATTGCGTAAGTTCACTCCAACTAGCCGAGGCACCGACACTACCCCACCCCGAGTCCACGCACGCTGTTTCGTATACACGACGAGCGACGCCCACTCTAGCCCCGAACCACCTCTCTCCGATAGGCCGCCCCCGACGCCGCCCTTAAGGTTCCATCCATTTCTACAAATTTCTTGTGGATTGACCCCTGGACGTGACTGAGCTTACCTCAGCCTGAAATAGGTCCTTCACAAGTGGCGCCCGAGCAGAGACCCAAGGGAACGTCAGCGAGGGTTTGTGGAATAAAACCCCACGGCCACTAGAGCAAGAACACAAGAGAACAACCCGAAGAAAACCCCGACCTCGCGCAATACCAACAGCAAGAGTTGGAACTAGTCGCCGGGCCCCTCGAACACGATGGCTGGGTCAGGTTGGCGGAGCTCGAGCTGCAGTACGCTAGATCGCCAGGACGAGCCCGATCGCCCCAGCCCGACACCTCAGCACCAACAGAGAAGCGGAAGACGGACCCCAAACTCAGCCTACAAGTTCCAGGAATCATGGAAGGCAAAGCCAGCACCTCACCGACATCGATAACCGCCGAAGATCTACCGAAGCCCCCGCCCCCGGAGCCAAGGCCTTCGCCCATGAGAAGGATCTTGCCGACAGCAGGAGGAAATGGCCCCACAGACGGCCATTACTACAGTCACGCCGCACAGATGGCGGAACGGATCCGAAAGTGGGGAATCCAGTTTGACGGGCAGGACGACCCACTGTCGTTCGTCGAACTACTGGAAGAGCGTGCCCTCTCGTACGGGGTAGACATGAACTACGTGCCGCGAGCCATAGCAGAGCTCCTCACCAACCGAGCCAACCGTTGGTTCCGCACCAGCCGACTCCAGAGCGCCAGGAATTCCTAGCCTTTTTCCTGCCTCCCCTCGCCAACCCACACGCAGCCTGTCGACGCTGCGGAGAACCTGGACATGTTTCTCGCGACTGCACCAACCCACTGATCCTCTTTTGTTGGGAATGCGGAAAGCACGGAACCCCAGCTGACACGGGAACAGCCGGGCACGACGCTTCCTCAGACAACCAACTAAGAAACCCGCTGCAAGTACACGACGGCCGGATAGTGGCGAGAGTGACCATCGGAGGACGGCGCACGGAAGCCACGGTCGACACCGGGGCATCCCGAAGTTTCATCACCGCCGACCTCGCCCGCCAACTCGACCACGACAACGACCTGCGCGACGCTTGCATCCCGATACGCCTAGCCGACGGCTCAGCACGCGAGATAACTCAGATCTTGCTAGCGCGCGTCAAACTAGACGAGCAAGAGGTACAGGTGCCGCTCTTGGTGCTGCCCAACATGCTAGAGCAAGCCATCATAGGGATGGACTTCCTGTGCGCCATCGAAACCACAATACAATGTGGCACCACACGCCTCCATCTTCAAGGCCCCCAACGCTCCCTCCCAAACACACCGATGATCACCGCCAGCCAAGTACACGCCCACGGACCCCAGAACTTGAGACCCCCGCCGCCAACGAACCCTCCGCCACGACACGAGACACGAGCACAAGGAACGAGGAACACAGAACCCATGGCCACAACGAGGCACACCAGCCCCAGGCTCACTCCGAGAAACCCAAAACCAAGCAAAGCAACGAAGAAAGCGAGCCGGTCTCCCGAGGGCACCGACGCGGTTCCACCAACGATGGGAAAGGAACCCAGGACGCCCCTCCAGAAGACAACCCGGCCCCAGCAACGGCAGCCGCCACGCAGCAGCCAGGCGCTCGAGGTACCACCTCCGACCGCCACCCTGGCCCACGAACGCGACGACACCGCCCTCGACGCGAAAACGACCCCTGCGACACCGACCGACCCGCTACCCCCACGTCCTCTCAGGCAGGAATCGGGAAAGGCGATCACCGCCGCACGAGGCATCAATCGGAACCCCGCCGCACCTGGAGCCGACACACCATCGACCGTCACCGACATCATGGAACGCCTCCCGGGCAACACTTCGTACGGCGCCGGCATGCGGCCCAGCACCACGCCTGGAGCCATGTCGGTGAACCCCACCGCCCAAACTAGCCGTCGGTCAAACGCTACGACCGCAATCGAGACCCGCACGTTCGTACATCACGCAGAGTACAACGTCGCACAAGCACCCCCCAGGACTCACACGAGCACCCCACACCTGAGCGACGCACCCGCCGTCGTCGCCGGCATAAGCGAATACACTCGCGAAGTCGAACCACCAAGCGCATTCGACACAACGATCCTCCCCGAAAACCCCGACCACACTTGCGACCCAGGAATCGACGAACCACCCGAGGATGATTCAGAACGGATCTCCGACCCATGGCCGCTCCAGACCGTTCACAATATGGCTTATAACAGCAGCGTCTTCAACATGTCCGACTGCTGCTATTTTTCTCATCTGCAGCAAGTACTCGTGCATCGACTCACTACTCTTCCTCTTTCTTTCTTGCAGCAGCTTATGAATGTCTGCACTGTTATAGCTACATGTGAATTCATCCAATAATACGTTCTTGAGTTCCTCATAGGTGCACACGCATTCTGCTTCAAGGAAAAGCTTAGCTGCACCGGTCATTTT